TCTGTCCTCTCTGGTGTCGTGTCAGTGTCTTGTGGGATTTCAGTGGATTTCGGGCTCTCCCTGGGGCGGGGATAGTTGTGTCGCTCGGGTTTGGGTTTATATCGGCTGTTGGTGTTTGAGACATTTCTTCTCGTCGTTTGTGCTCGCTGCATTTGACGCACGTGTCTGTTGAGACGTGTCCCGCTCACCAGTGTTGTTTCGGCATCGTGACTTGTTTTGGCACTCGGCGATGAACTGTTTAGTCAGACTTCAGGCTGCGTGCACATCCGCTGTGTCGATAACACAGGGCACGTTGGCTCAAGCATCATTAAACTTGTTAAACGAGAGGAGTCAGAGAGAGATAGAAGCCTTCTAACATTCAGTCTCTTTGCGAGCGAGAGAGAGCGAGGAAAACAAACAAGCTGCAAATACAATTTATCGCAGCTGGAAAAGTTATTGAGCTCGTTAAAAGTTATCATACGATTAATTGATTTATTGATTATCGTTACAGGCCTAGTGTCCACCTTTGGCAGATATAACAGCTGAACACACTCGTGGCTCGTTCTTTTTGCAATAGAAATCAAATATTGCTCAGAAAGTTCTTCCCAAGTCTGTTGCAGAAGTTCTATAAATGTGTGGCACTTGTAGGTTGCTTCACTCTTCTGTCCAGTTTATCCCAAACCAGTTCAATGGGGTTTAAGTCTGGACACCGTGCTGCTGGACACTCCATGTTTTCAAGCTTTACCATCTTGTTCTTTTTTTTTTTAGGTAGTTTTGGCCGAGCTTGGACTTGTGTTTTGTATCTTTTATCTTTTTTTTTAACCTCTGTGTGTTCAGTTCTTACCTTTGTATCATTTCAACCTCTTCATTGGACTTGCACGACTTGATTTGCATTAAATAACTGGAAAAATTAGGGTGTTCTACAACTTTTGACCAGTAGTGTAAATGTCCCTCGAATGATTATTGTCTACCCTTTTTATCGCGACAATTTATTTAGACAATAGAATGAGATTTCCAGCATTAAACACATCATAGTACTTTCTTTTATACGCCCTTATACAGTGTCTGTGTAATCTCTAACCTCAGTCGTCCACAGTGCCCTTATGTCTGTGTTGCATATGAACAATCTTGACCCTTTACGTGCCCTGAGGAAGACACAAGTCGAAACATGTTGGCGTTTGACAGGAAATAAAATGATAGCTTAGCATATCGGAGCGCCTCGAATCTCTTCTTTCATCTAGTGTCATTCTAAAACTATTCAGGAAAGTTTCATTTCTGTCCTGTGAACCTGCTCAAATGTTCCGTTACTAGTTTTGGAACTGATTAGTATCTGGTTTTCGATACTTTTGACAATGCGAATGTTGAGTGAGCTCGCGCTGACTCTGCACCACAACGTTAAATGTACGGAAACGTACGGAAACGTCCTGTTGCTGATTGTTTTCACTGCTGCTTTGATGGAAAAAGGAACAGGAAATCCCCATTAGGAAATCTTTTCTAACAGTAGCTGTTTTTGCAATACTAACGTTTAAGAGAAAGAAAAAAACAAACTGGTAGTTACTCTCATTTATCTTTTTTGTTGTTAGATTATTGCTGCATGCACTACTGTCAAAACTATTGAAACTATCGAAACTAGATATGCATTTGAGTAGGTATCGATACTGACAAAGTCACATTCACAGGACAGAAGTGAAGCTTTCTGGAACAGCTTTAGAATGATCTTGAGCTGTATCAGAACACTTAGATTAGTGTACACCCATGGAGCCACTATAGAACCTACTGGACCACTGAGGGATTACACACATAGAAGACCACATGAGAATATGAGAAATTGCCACGATTTAATCTTGAAAACGACATTCTACTGGCTAAATCAGGGGTGTCAAACTCAAATTCACAAAAATTTTAATCTGAGACTAAGTCATGCACTGTAAACCTGAATAAGTTACCAGAACTCAAAAAAATTTAGCCAATTCAATTATTTTAAGTCTTCCAGAATTTAAAAGGTTGGACTTGTACTTTTTGATAACAGCTAAATTAAAAGTGCTCATTCAGCTCAACTTAAATATTTGAGTTTTCAAACCACTGGAATAATTTAATCAAATATCAGTTTTATATGTAATCCATGATTTTTGTGCACATATTGTACACACAATCCAGTACACACACACACACACACACACACACACACACACACACACACACACACACACACACACACATAGTACACATAGAGACACATCATAATATACACACACTATACACACACTGTAGGAGGGGGATTTAACCCCAAGTTCCCCACATGAAAATCAGGAGATTTATTTAATCAATATTATATAATGTGTTTATAGTTTAATAATATATAGTTACATACATCACACATTATAGTATACACATAGTACATTACACACACATTAGATATTATTTTTAATGACTTAATTGTACTAAGTTGAAGTAACATCTATGTTTTTAAGTTACGCTCATTTATACCCACAATAGTTCCTTTCTTAAACAAGAAATATTAGTTAAAATTTCTCAAAAAGAAGAACATGGTATAGAATCTTGAAATAATTAAGTTAGTAGGACTATTTCTAAAACTTTGAGTATACACAACTTAATCTATTTCATTACTTTAAACGTCTGGGTTTACAGTATGGGCCAAACTAAATATTTTTTGAAAGATTTCAACAACATCTGCATGTTTTCTCTTCTTTTGAGATATGTAATGCTAAACTTTTTCTTATTACAATAAATGTTTAATAATAGTTTTGCTTAAACAGAGGGAGGACTGCTTTGAAGTATTTATGAACAAGTCCATAAATCCAAAAAAATCCAAAACCCAAAACTAAACTGCCATGACATGAGACAAGATGAGACTCTGACAGTGACAATGGACCAACAAAGAGCAGAGAGAACACATGGTTTAAATGCACACAGACACACGTGAAACACTTTAGGGCAGGACAAACAATCAAGACGGGAAGTAAAACTCAAAACTACGAGCAAACACGACAAATGTCAAAATAAAACACCAAAATGAGCAAATACAACCACTACAAACATGAACCATGGCAAACATTGAATCCAGAAGAAGCAAAATATAAAATAATAACATTTTAAATCAATAATGTTTCTATAGTCTATCTCTAGTGGGCGGGGCAGCTCTAGTATATGTTTGATATATGATGTCACGGGCCAAATATAATTATATCACGGGCCAAATTTGGTCCCTGGGCCTGAGTTTGACATGTCTGGTCTAAATAAAGAGTGTTTTGCCTGGTATCATAATCAGTAGAATATTGAGTCTACTTCTTAGTACTGAAATTGAGTTGCTCTGGGGTAGACTGACAGAAGCGAGGCTGCCAATCTGTGCTTGTGTGTGTTTTGCTCTTCTATTCAAACATGCAAGAGCGTAGGTTTACACAGGGACGGTGAGGACACGTCACAACCAATATCTGAGGAAGACAAAATAATCCCTATCAATATACATTTATTCTGATATTTTTCCGAACTCAATAATATTAATTAAACACGTTTGAGTTTACATTTTGTTTAGTAGATGTTCTGAGATGTATTCAGTGATGTGATGACAGGGTTACACCTGCTGCTGTTTGCCTAAACTGGGGAAGCGACAGGACAGGACCGCACCTGAAGATGGCGGCTTGAGCAGGCGTGAGTGAAGACGCTGCCAGTGTTAGGGAGTAACAGATTACATGTACCAGAGTTACGTAATCAGAGTACAATTTATGAGTAACTGTATTCAGTTACAGTTAGTTTCAGTGAGTGGTAATTAGATTACAGTTACTTGGTTGAAATAAATGGATTACACAGATGCTAAATCAGGTCTAAAACCAGGTCTAAACCAGGACTAAACTAGGTCCAAACCAGGTCTAAACCAGGTCTAAACCAGGACTAAACCAGGTCTAAAACAGGTCCTAAACCAGGACTAAACCAAGAAAAAAACACATCTAAACCAGGACTGAACCAGGTCCAAACCAGGTCTAAACAGGTCTAAAACCAGGTCTAAACTAGGACTAAACCAGGACTAAAACCAGGTCTAAACCAGGTCTAAAACAGGTCTAAAACCAGGACTAAACTAGGACTAAACCAGGACTAAACCAGGACTAAAACCAGGTCTAAACCAGGTCCAAACCAGGTCCAAACCAGGTCCAAACCAGGTCCAAACCAGGTTTAAACCAGGTCTAAACTAGGACAAAACCAGGTCCAAACCAGGTCTAAACCAGGTCTAAACAAGGTCTAAACTAGGACTAAATCAAGACTAAACCAGGACTAAAACCAGGTCCAAACCAAGTCCAAACCAGGTCTAAACAAGGTCTAAACTAGGACTAAACCAAGCCTAAACCAGGACTAAAACCAGGTCTAAACTATGTCTCAAACAGGATTTAACAGGACTAAATCATGCTGCTTGGACGTGTCTCCTCCTCTTCTATCAATAATATTTTTTATTTGGTTTAGTAAAGTCTGGGCTTTTTATTTTCTTTTAGCAAACAAAACATCTTATATTACGGTATCCTAGTCAGCAAATCAAGTAATCCAAAGTATTCAGATTACATTACTCACTTTAAGTAATTTAATGGATTCCGTTACAAACTCCATTTTAGGCTATGTAATCTGTAATCTGTAGTGGAATACATTTTAAAAGTCACCTTCCCAACACTGATCTTCCTTCACTGCTCCTCTGTTCACTCTGCCTTCACTAGATCTGAAATTAACAAAGTCATTCAGCGAAGGGGGAAGTGAGCCATGTTTTATGACACATTTATACACAGTGAGGTGGGTGAAGTGCCTTGCCCAAGGATATAGCAAGAATATACATTGGTCCAAGCTGAGTTCAAACGACCAATGTTGGGGTTGGTGCATGAGTTCACAGTTGACACTAAAAAGTTTCTTAATCCGGTCATGTGTAGTAAATGAAATGTATTATCTTGTTTGCTGTTCAGAAACACACACATGCACACGCACAAACTTTATATTTTGTCGTCTAACCTCTGTTTTTGTTTCAGGCCCTGTGCGCGGCGGACGGTGCTCCCCTCCCCACACACCTGCGTCCCTTCTGCAGTCCAGAGCAGTACACACTGGTGAAGCAGACGTACCAGCAGCTCCAGCACAGCGGCTACTACTGGGGCGCCCTGAGCATGGAGGAGGCCCACGCCATGCTCTCTGACGCAACCCAAGGCACTTTCCTCATCAGGTAGATCAGAAATGGCACTCATTCTTCCACATTGTCATTAAACGGACGCAAAACGGACTCTTGTGAGCTTTAGGTCGGGTTGGAATGTTGCTACCGCCTCAAAAACACACCTGGAGTTGTTTTGTTTCATTCACACACGTCTGAGTACCCCTTAAGTATTCATTTGTTTTGTTGTGATGTCATGAAGCTGTATTTTTCAAGTTATCAGATCCTTTTACCTTTTGTTTATTAGAGATTGTCAGTTCCAAGCCAGAAATTATCCAAATGATTCCAGTGAACATGTATGGAGTTTAAAATCACGGTGAAGCACTTCCTGTATTACCACGTTACATCACAAGGTGGAGTGTTTTCTGTTTATGATCAGAGCTCAGCCTAAATATGCAGACGTGATTGAAACAAAACACAACTCTGAGTATGTTTGTAATAGGAAACATTATAACATAGATAAGGAAATAGTGTAATCTTGGTCCTTTAAGCTACGTTTACGAGCTTGTGTATTTGTTTCTTGTTCCGTGAGAGTATGTGTCTCATGACTTGTGTGTATAACTAATCCCCTGTTGTGTTTATAGAGACAGTGTCCAACCGGACGTCTTCTTCACTCTGAGTTACTGCGGCGACGATGGCCCCACGAGTGTCCGCGTGCTGCTCAACAAGAACCTGCAATTCAGTCTCCATGGCAGCCACAAGACCTTTCCCTCCCTGTTTGCCCTGCTCACCCACTACACGGGGCCCACCTGCAAACTGAGCAAACCCCTGCGCACAGAGCGCCCAGAGCGTCTCAGCCACATGTGCCGCAGGGCCATAGTGCGTGCCTTTGGGGCCCACAACATAACCACTGTGTCTGGACTGAGCACAAAGGATGTACAGACCATCTATTTATATCCATATTCTATTTAGAAGAGAGACTTGTGTGTTTGTTTATAGGAAACATGATTTTGTATGTTATTTATGGACATTCTAGTCTGCTTAGTTAGTGTTAGTTAATATTGTTTTTGTTAATCACAAAAAGGTAGGATTCCTGCTATCGTGAAATGTTCTCCTGTAGACTAAAGGACTAAAGGAGTTACCAGACCCACTTTGAAATGCTGAGCTTAAAAATTAATACGAATAATAATAGGGTACATAAAGGCAGACTATGTACGTTTTCTGGTGGAGGGTGTGCTACCTTATTGTCTCAGTGGAGATATTATTACGTTACCTACAATGTTCCACAGTGTGGAATTAATTTATGTATGCTGCGTTCAATTGCATGAGATTTTATTGCTGGAAAAATCCACAGATTTGCTTTGTGGCGCTGTAATGCCATACTGTGGAACATTCTGGGCAAAGCAATGGCATCTCCATGACGACAAACCCTTCATCAGTAAAATGACGTAGTGCTCCTTTAATCCTTTTTGCACTGAGTTACTGTTGAGTTTCTGTTGATAGATTCTTGAAGAGCCTGTGTGATTTGACAGTGTCTGTTATGTTTAAGTTAGTTTTGTTAAAAGCTCCTCTATGTTTCTTTTCTGCTGAAGCCTCTGCCTCTTGTCCTTTGGAGATATTATGGTTTTATCTGAAATGTTACACAGTAACTTAACTTATTTGCCTCCATGGAAACCACAGACCAAAGTTACAGACTAAATTTTCGGTGAGGCGACGCTCACAGTTTGAATGTATAATAATAATAATGGATCCGTTTTATGGAGTGCTTTTTTGGACACTTAAAGACGCTTTTACAGAGCATTATTCACTCACCCCACACTCTGGTGGTAAACTACTGTTGTAGCCACAGCTGCCCTGGGACAGACTGACAGAACCACCATCAGCCCCTCCGACCACCCCCCCGTGGCACCTGATTTTTCCAGCAGTCTCTCATCCAAGCACTAACCCAGCCCTGCTGAGCTTCTGAGATCTGACGAGATCTGACTTTGACTTTTGAGCAACTGAAAACATCCATGATTGGATAAATGCAATTTAGACAAGTCTAATGCCTTATTGTTATACTGTTTACTGCTAGAGGCAAAGCAATAGGATTTCCATGGTAATGGACCGTGTACCAGAAGATTGACCTACCTTAATATAAAATATAAAATGTAAAAAGTTAATAATAATAAAAAATAATAATAATACATAAACCACAGAAACATTTTAAGACAGCTTTCTCTGCTCATATATTGTAATGTGCCCATGTCTGCGCAGGGCACTGGAGCTGTAGAGCCCAGACTATTTTCAGAAACACAGGACTCTGTATAAGATAACAGATACACCCACCAGAAGTCACACTTAAGTCTTTTGAAAGAATACTGTAATTTAACGTTTGCTATTTGCACCAAAGCTGTATAATCCCTTCTATAAGACAAATGGTACAGCATCCGTAATACTGATATTTCACTATTTCAGAAGAAGTGTAGCAGAAACATCCACTGTTGGCAGATTTACTGTGGTGATTTTCAGAAAAAATCTTTCCTCTAATAACAGGAACACAGATTTAGACTTCCTGTATATTTTTTATATTTTATATTTTTATTATATAATACATAATGCAACAAATGAACTATAAATGTACCCTGGGGGGTTCTGCATGTATGTCTATGGTGGAATGTTCAGCAATTACCATGGTGACACAATTGCACACATTGGCAAACACAGCCTAAAACTGAATAGATTTAAAACCACGCATTTTGTATTTTTTCTGAAGTTTTCAGACAACCGTCAAACCTTTTTGGCAGTGTTTGCTTATGTGTGCATCGTGTCCCCATGGTAACAGCCATAGACATACGTGTAGAACAGCCCATGCATGATGTGACTGCAAAGTATCAGTAGTATTCTGATTGGTAACGGACTGCATTCCAAAATCCAGTTTAATTCAGGTATTCAATTTAATATGTTTTCAAAGTATTCTTCCCAGCACTGAAATGATCATATATCAAACTTGTGCCTTTTTTTACTTTTGAATTGTTAACACATTTCTGTATAAATAAAGTTCAGTTGTTGTATAATGGTTTATGGTTTATGATTCTGTCATTTTGATTCTATATTACGCAAAATTGACTCTTGTGAGCTTTAGGTCATGTTATAATGTTGTTAGCTCTTCAAAAACAAACCTGGAGTTGTGTTTTGTTTCATTCACACGTTAGATTAACCCTTTATTATTAGTCTGTCTACATCTCCAAAGCTCAAACTGCTCTGTCCCATCTCCATTTAGTGTGATAATACCTGTTGTAAATAGAAATGATAGTTCTGCACCATTCAAGAAGAAGTTTGTGAAGAAAACTTGAAAAATGTGTTGAAAATGACAGAAGTAGAGAGTTCTAAAACATATTGATGGCATCGCGCTGGGAATTCTATCCAAAATGTTTTTTCTTCACACCAACTTGGGACAATCCAATATGGAGCTACTTTTCAGCCAATACTGATGTGCCATGTTTTATACTCATTACATTTACTCAGCTACATTTAGTTGAGTAACTGTAAAGAAATTGTACTGATCAGAGTACCTTTCTAGCAGCATACTTTTACTCCTACTTGAGTAATACAGTATTTTGAATAAAGTACTCTTACTTGAGTACTCTCCCCATTGTGAATAAGTGTACAAGTAACAAAAGCTTTATGTTGACTTTATGAAATCCATCCATTTTTTTCCACTTTATTCGGGGTCATGGAGGCAGTAGTCTGAGCAGGGAGCAGGCCCACACTTCCATCTCCACAAACACCTCCTCCAGCTCCTCCCCTGAAGTGTTCCCAGGCCAGCCCAGAGTCCCTCCAGCGTGTCCTGGGTCTTCTCTGGTGGGCCCCCAGGGAGGCGCCCAGGAGGCATCTGGTACAGATGCCCGAGCCACCTCAACTGCTCCTCTCGACGTGGAGGAGCAGCGGCTCTACTCCGAGCTCCTCCCGTGTGACTGAGCTCCTCACTCTATCTCTAAGGGAGCGCCCAGACACCATGCGGAGGAAACTTGTATCTGTGATCTTGTGAGGTTAGGAAAATAGATTGACTGGTAAAAGGTTGTATGGAGGATTTTTATTTTTGTTTCAAATTGTCACTGAAAGTTTAAAATACCATTACAGAGACGCAGCAGCCTTGTAATTATTATGACCAAAAAAAAAAAAAAAGAATGAAAATCTATCAACTGAGGACGTAGTGAGGCCAGATGAAACATCAGCCAATAGATAACAAGGCTCCCTCATTTTCTATTGGCTGTTAGGTTGTCAATCAAACTCCCTACATTTCTAGTGTAACTGCCTCGCCCACGCACACGGATTATGTGGTTTATGCAACGGTTCTAGAGGCTTTTTCAAACTGTCGCTTCCTTGCAATTCGCACAAAGTTTGTTGCGATGGCGGACGAGAATCCACGACCAGTTCACCGCAAAAGAAAGTCAGTTTTTGAGGTCACTGAAAGAAACAGAGAAGGAGAAAAGAAGAGAAGACAAACTGAGGTGATTCTGGGAGATTCCTTCCAGCGATGGCGAGACTGAAGCAGACGAAGGTTCTAAAAACTGACGCACTACATTATTTCTAGACAGGTCACTTCAACAGTAATTCTGAACATGCACTGGCTGTAAACAAGCGTGATTTCTAGAGTAAAGAGACGGGAGGAGATGTTTCTACTGAGGAGCTGTGGAGGAGGAAGGTGGTGTCACACATGCACAACATTTGAAAAAGGACTGTCGCTGTATTTCACTTCCCTTAAAAAATCCTCTATACAACCTTAAACTGAGAGCTTTTGCCTTTCCACTCAGCTTTAGTTGACTTTTGACCATAGTAATAATACTTTTTTTGTCTTACTCGACTAATTTATCCATCCACTACTTTGTAAGTACTTGAGTAATATTATTTTGAAGTAACGTTATTCATAAAATTTTTGTCTCCTCTATCCACCTTGATCTGTAATCCACTCCAATGTCTTAAAGGGTAATTTATTTATTTGTTTATCTATTTGAGACAGGGACAGCACACAATTTTTACTTTAAAGTTAACAGGAGAGATGCTTGTACCAGACTGAAGCACCAGTGATAATTTCCACCTGTCGTCCCTGGGCAGGTTCATTGATTGATTGTGTTTAACTGACCTCTTGGCTATCAACTGTTCTAATGTATATATATATATATATATATATATATATATATATATATATATATATATATATATATATATATATATATATATATATATTGTTACGTGCTGGCGCCCCTTTGCGCATCCCATTGCGTGTATTAATTGTGTCTGTTTTGGGGCGTGGTTGGTCTGCATATAAATAGGCCGCCTATCAGTGGCGCACCCTCTTGCTCTTGCTCTTGCGCACTCACTACGCACCGCCTCGCCCTCCGCACACCTGGGCGCGTGCTCGTCACTATGCGCGCTCCTTTCTCTTGGCTGCTTGCCACAGGCAATATATATATATATATATATATATATAAAACTCTCAAGCTCCCAGGCCTCTGGTAGAGGACCCGAGCTGAATGAGGGTGAGAGACCTACCACCGTGGAAGGTGAGAAACACATCATTTATATATATATATACACATACAGTATGATAATATATAATAATATATAATAGTGTAGACCTGAGCATTGTCCAGCTCCAGGGCCACATACAGTCCTTTGGTTGACTCTCACCGGCCCCTTTCAGATCATTTGGAATTACAAAATAAACATATTTTATAATTTGACTTCATGCATAGACTAAAGCTGCATTTGTTTTATTTCAGAGGTGTTTTTTTTATGACATTTTTGTAAGACAGCCTCATTCTTTCATTGCTTAGTCAGAATATAAACTCTTACCAGTCTGACCAGCTCGTCAAAACAATGATATGAAATAGTAACCGGCTATTATTTAATAGCATGTTATTAAATAATAGCATGAGGAATAAATAAATACATGAATAAAGTACAATAAAAATACAATTAATATTATGCAGAAAGTAGTTAAGCATTTTGTGGCCCCATGGAAAAAAGAGTTGCCCACCCACTGCTACAACGGGTGACAGTAGCTCAGTTTTTTTGTTTTTTTTAATTTATTTTTTATTAAGGACAGCAGAATATAACATTTAGAAAATAAAACAACAATCAACATTTAACCCTCTCCAGGCAGGCATTGCAGATTTGCAACAGCTAAATGCCAATTACCTATTTACTCCACATCCATATTTTATGAGCTTTTTTTACTCAGGAGCCTTGTTTGCAGACTGGGCAAGAATGGTTACACGCAAACGACCTGCCAGAAGTGCAAAGTACTTTTGTTGTTTACAAAGGATAAACATTTTTTCTTGGAGAACCACATGAAAAAGTGATGTTGTTCTGCCACTGTAAAGCTGTTACTCTGTGCTTTTTGTTTTCATTGTTATGAAAAGTGGTTTACACATAAAGTTAGTGTTCATATCATTTTCAGTCTTCAGTGTTAATTTACCACACCAGACCAATGCTGCAAATCTGCAACATCCCAGAACAAGACATTGGATGTGAAGGTCTCTCAAAAAAAAAAGACAGGATTGTATATTACTACTCCATATGATCATTTTCCCCAAATATCAGATTTTTCCTGATACTAGAAATGTATTTGAGCCTGAGAGGGTTAACAATTACAATTACAATATTCAGCATAAAACAAAGACAAAGACATAAAGCAACACCCACAACACCCACAACAAATACAAAACAGCATAAAAGCCCCCCCATTTCCCCCCAACCACCCACAACAACACAAATTTGACTAAATCAAACAAAAATAATGTGGTAGTGCAACATAAATACACCGCTAGGCTCCCAACATTGACACAGTGCGGCCAGTTCATTTCATAAATCATCATCAATTCATAATTGAAATTCCTTTTGACTCTCTTCCTTTTTTTTTGTTTGTTTTTTTTCTCCCCCCTCTCCCATTTTTAAATTAAAAAGCAATTTTTATAATTTTTTATATTTATTTTCACCATCGTCATTTCCTTTCATAATTTTATGTTATTTATTACAAACTCAAATCATAATTTTAAGTAACAGTAGCTCAGTTAGCAGAAGGTTTGTCCACTGATCAGAAAGTTAGAAATTCAAATCCTGCTCTTGACATAAACTGAGCACTCAGATCCACTGACCCACAAGTAGAGAGTTCTAAAACATACTGATGGCATCGCGCTGGGAATTCTATCCGAAATGTTTTTCTTCACAACAACTTGGGACAATCCAATATGGAGCTATTTTTCAGCCAGTAATGAGAGCCCATGTTTTATACTCATTACACTTACTCAGCTACATCAGATAGTTGGAGATTCAAATCCCGCTCTTGACATCACCTGAGCGCTCAGATCCACTGACCCACAGGTTGGCGGTGCGATTCTAGCTCCCACAGGTGAATACTGTCATTGTGTCATTGGGCAAGCTCACCTCCAGTGTCTGTGTAGCCCGGTGTATGAGTGTGTGTGTGAACGGGTGAGTGGTTTCTTGTTGTAAAATGCATTGAGTGCGATAGTAACATGAGATATTATTTAGGCAAGTGTATAAGGTGTCTTGCCCGAGGACACAATGGCATTCTCTGGGGATTGGGCTGCTTAAAATAATTTGCACAGACATGTTTGGACCAAGTGGGCTCCCAGAGTAGTGGTTTTTGCTCCACTTCCTGTTCTAATTTAGACTGGCACTGGCCTCTTTAGTCGAAATGAGCCTTACACCTGGGACCAGCGCTGATACAAACACTGTTAAACGATGTGTCTCTTTAAAGGCTGTATAGAGGATTTTTTAAGGGAAAAGAAATACAGCGACAGTACTTATGTTTTTAGGTTCTTTTTTCAGACCTAGAGTTCTGTTTCAAAGCTGACAGTTTGGACTGCTCACTAGCGCTCTTCCTCAGAGTCACGTGATGTTGCTGTGACGTGTCTGGTCAGCTGATTTAGAAGCAGTGCAGTGAAACCGTACAGAAAACTCAGACAACTACTCGTCCACCTGAAAGACAAAATAGAACCGGAGCATAAATGTAATGTCATATACGAAATACCCTGCATGTCCTTCAACAAA